ATTTTTGTTGGGCCTCAGATTAGGAAACTGACTTTGGATGAACAGTTTGAAAGGACAGTGAGGAAAGTTGAAGAAGAAGCGTGGATTACCTTTAAAGGTGTTATTGACAAATTTCTGGGAAACAACATGGACCCAAATTACAAAAATATTGTCAATAACATGCTCGATAAATTCAAAGAGTTGGGTTATAATATGAGCTTGAAAGTTCATTTCTTACACTCACATATGGACTATTTCCCTGAAAATCTTAGTGTTGTGAGCGAAGAACAAGGGGAAAGGTTTCATCACGACATCAGGGAAATGGAGAGGAGGTATCAGGGAAGGTGAGCATCAGCATCATGGCTGATTACTGCTGGTCATTTAAACGAGATGCTCCAGACACAATACATAAAAGAAAGACCACAACACGTAGTTTGAGACCAAAAGTCGTAGATTTCACAATAAAATAAAATAATGATGAATGAGGATGTATATTCGTTTGACATTAATGTTCTTCCCTTTTCTTCAGTTTGTTTGTATTTTTGTTAACAAACATAATCATAAAAAATGTTCACTGTGGTAAACGAAATAATAATTTGATCTAAGTAAGAGTTTTTCTTCCTGATTTGTAAAAAATCCTTACGTGATAGAAAAAAATTGATATTTTCGAAATATGCGTAGCTGAATTATGGAAATTACGTTATTAAAACCAAAACAACTTTTATGAAGCATAAATTTGCAGGCCTGTAAAATCTTTATCACCCTATTACCACCAATAAATTAGAGATAATCTCAAGTCATTTCATTAATAGATTTAATAGCATTCAAGAACGATAATCTTATGTCACTGTAGCATCTGCGATAAAAGTTAATCTTATATCACTTTAGTAACACCAATAAAAGTATTAATGTGCAATAATCATGTCATTTTATTAACATATATAATAGCGTTAAAGTACAATAAACAATTTACAACCAGTAGTAATTAATTCGCATTACTTTACAGAGAAATATTTATACTGTACAATAATATTCTAAAAGTAACGATTTCGCATTATTTTACAGATAATTTTTTTACTGTACAGATGTTATAAATATTTTAAAGTAATGATTTCGTATTACTTTACAAAAAAAATGTTTTGAAATTCTCTATAAGTACGTGCACTAATGTCAAAGTTATAGCACTTTAGATTGAATTACTGATCTGTATAGCAAAGGCACTTGCACTGATGTCCAACTTAGAACACTTTGGTTTGAAATACTGACTTGTACATATATTTCAAACTTACAACAGCTTTATACGAATCATTGGCCAGTACGTGTACGGGTAATATAAACTTAAAAGAGTTATATTAATCACTGATCAGTACGTGTACAGCTAGTATAAACTTACAACAGTTTGGCTTGAATTATACTGACCTGAGAACTGACAGAGTCTATGCAGTTGTGCTCGTAGTTATTCTCCGAAATATTCGTTATGCTTATAACGTATGGTTTAGAGATCGTGTAGTGTCATAGAGGTTAGCGTGTAGGACTGCGAATCCAAAGACCCATGGTTCGCACCCCGTTGCTGCTAATTCATTCTTCGCACTTTGGGGCCGTGGGTACGTTATAAGAGTTACTGTCAAATCTCACTAGTCGATTAGAGCAGCCCAAGTGTTGGCTAGCTAGCTGCTTTCCCTTCTAGTTTATCAACTAACATTATGGATGTCTAGCGCAGATAGCCCTTGCGTAATTTTACACAATACAAGAAACAAACAAACAGTCAGATTCGACAAGTATTGCTGGTCTTCTCAAATGTTGTGTAGTTTCTTGGTGCAATCTAAACCGCCTCACTGTAACAATTGGAATAGTTTGTTTTGTTTTAATCGTAGTTTCGGTGCTGTGTTGATGACATAAACTATGTCAAAATCTGTCAAAAGAAACTTTGAATAGAGCTGAACCCAATCAAATAAAAAAAAAAAAGACCAGAATATGAAATTTCAACTTTTAAGATTCAGGTATATCCCTCCTTAATTTTGAACTGCAGATCAGGGGGTAAAAAAAAAACACCCAGTCAGTAGCACCCACCCATCACTACATTACGAATCGAACCTTGGACCCTGCGATATGCAGTTTGTAGCGTTACTCACTAGGCCACGAGACTTTTTTTTTACATTTCAAACTATTCAAAGATATTTCGTAAACAAATCACTTACACTGGCAGGGTCTCGGTATTGATTTAATATTGTCTATCGTAAACAAATCACTTACACTGGCAGGGTCTCATTATTGATTTAATATTGCCTTTCGTAAACAAATCACTTACACTGGCAGGGTCTCATTATTGATTTAATATTGCCTTTCGTAAACAAATCACTTACACTGGCAGGTTCTCGTTATTGATTTAATATTGTCTTTCGTAAACAAATAACTTACACTGGCATGCTTTTATTATTGATTTAATATTGTCTTCCCATTTGCACACCTAGAATTCCCATTACCTCCAAGTTTACATTATATCAGGTTGTTACTAGTACAACCGGTTTCGACTGGTTTACTGATATTATCTTACGCTAAAAGTTCATGAACAAAAGTAACTTCAGTTACACTCACCGCAACATAAGCTTTGAATAATTCCCCATCCTTGTGCCTCTCCTTCACGTATTGGAGACAGTTACTCTGGTCAGTACAATACTTGATATACGGACGAAAAATCTGATCAAACTACCACAGAAACAAAAGGAAACTTTAGTTTATCACCGAGAGTTATACTTATAATTGACCTGTAACTTGTAATTCTTGTTAGATCTTTAAATACCAGTAGTTGGAAAGCGAGAGGACATTTATAAAATTAGTTTGTGATCAACAAAAAAATCCAACTCTAGGAAGTTTCCCAACATATCCTATAGTACTTCACCTTCATGTTATGTTTTCATGTGGAGATTATTTTATGTTACAGGCTGCTACAGGCAGTTGTAGAGTGTTACAAACGAGAATCATTTTCCCAACCTTCTCACTAACGTTTTGTGCTAATCAATTTACGTTCACAAAAAGTCTCTCTCATTTAACACGAAAGTTATCATTTTAGCAGACATCTTGACTACGTGACCTATCTCGTGATTTTGGTGTTGAAATGATGTAAATAAGAATAGATAATTAATACTTGAAACCATTGGTGAAAATACATAACTATGAAATTGAGAAGAAAAAAAAACAACAGACAATTGTATGTTTCACAAATACTTCATTTAATAAAGACCATGGTTTGGTCAGTAAATGCATCATGATGCCTTTGCTGGCGAAACCATGGTCATTGATGAGTGGAGTATTTGTGAAACGTTCAATTGTCCGTTCGTTCTCCCAATTCTGTAAAAATAGATAAGTTTTGGTTATGACTTAAATTATAAAATTGGAAATTACATTTAATTATGTTTCAGATCTATTATGCATACGTATGAAAAGGATATTCATTCTATTCTTAACGTAAGCCGTTAAATTCAAGCTCATCGTATTGTTAACACTAGAGTGTTTTCATTTTGTTTGTTACGTTTTATTTTGCAGATTCGGCATACATGAGAGAAGATAAAAAAAAAAGACCTAACATGAATTTGGTTTTTAGTTTCCTGATGTTTGTTAGCAAGTTTACCTGTAAGAATCCGTGTCTCATTAGCAGAAGTGGAAGTGGTTTTCTGGTGACTCGAGAAGTGTTCAACATCGGCAGAAGATGGTTTTCCCAGAAGTTGTGATTAGCGGAGTAAACCTCTCCAATGTTACTAAACAATTTATCCGTGTCGATCTGGAAAGTATTCGTAGAGAAAATATACCTTTATATAAAAGACGTGACGCTATTTATTAATGAATTAAGTATTTGTACAATCAAAGTTAATAGAATTAAACAAACACGTCTTGAGTAATGAAAGTTCAAAGCAACACCTCAAGGAACAATATTTTGTAACAAATGTTCAAAGTTAAAAAAATTAAAACGGCATTATTAAGTAATGAAATATCAAAGTAACATTGTTGTGTGTAACAGAAGCTCAAAGTACTCAACAAAATAAAGCATTCTTGAGTAATTGAAGCTCAAAATCAACACCTAAAAAAACAGGATTGTGTAACGGAAGTTCAGTGTTAAAAGAACTTAAAAAAGCAATTTTAATTAATGAACGTTCAAAGTAACTCTCAAAACTGTGTAAAAGAAGCTCAAAGTACTTAACAAAATAAGTTATTCTTGAGTAATTGAAGCTCAAAGCAACACCTCAAAAGACAGTGTTGTGTAACAGAAGTTCAAACGTTAAATAATTAAAAACATTAAGTAACGGAAGTAACCCTTAAAAACACTATTGTGTAATAGAAATTCAAAATACTAAAAAATCATCTTTGAGTAATGAAGCTCAAAGTACTCGCCTCATTTAGAAGTCCCTCAGACTGGAGGTTACACAGGCAAGCAAGGAAAAGCTGCAGTATCAATAACGACAATGAATTAGAACCCAATGTAAAGAACAATGCTTCATAATATGAGTGCTAAGATAAAAATCATATTGTTTACAATAATATTAAAATTGTTTTCAATCAATTAAAGCAAAATACAATTCCTCTGGCTAAGAACATTTACTCCATTTTAGAAAAATGACGCAATATATTCGACCTTTTCTACAACTACGAAACAATACTTTTCTAATTAACATAATACATAGAGAAGTCGGATGCTTCTTCATTTGATACAGAGATCAGGCGCGGTCTTAGTTGTAAACCGAGTTTCTAATTCTTCATTAAGATATTTCAAATTCTCCAGTTTAGCAGAAAATGTTTTTCATTTGATTGATCATCTGTATTGGAAGAATTAGAGCTAGCTCTCGTTCCCGATTGGTTCCCGTGTTACAGGATTAGAAAGAATAGGCTAACTTGAAAAAAACTGTTTGTATTAAATGACATAGACGGACGAAAATATCGTTGACAATGAGGATACCCAACTGATAAAACAATGTATTCTAATATTTCAAAGTAAGAACATAAGTAAAGTATATTTAATTAATTGTAACAAAAAACTGTTTGTATTAAATAACATTGACGGAGGAAAATATCGTTGACAATGAGGATACACAACTGATGAAACAATGTATTCTGATATTTCAAAGTAAGAACATAAGTAAAGTATATTTAATTAATTGTAACAAAAAACTGTTTGTATTAAATAACATTGACGGAGGAAAATATCGTTGACAATGAGGATACACAACTGATGAAACAATGTATTCTGATATTTCAAAGTAAGAACGTAAGTAAAGTATATTTAATTAATTGTACCAACTATTAGGTTTATTTTTGTTCTTCGCAGGCAGTTTACTCTAATTAGAAGTTAGTGTTAATCATATGATGCATTTTGTCATTTCTGTGCACATTTCAAATAAAAAAAAACAATTAGAAATGAAAAGTATTTGAAATAGAAGTTAGATGGCGCAACAATCTGTAACTTACATCTGTGATAACTTTCAACCTCCTAATATAAAATACTTCTGTATGGAGAAGTTCCCATATTGCGTCTTGTTGGTTCTTCATTCTTTTACTAAGCTCCTATAAACGAAAATCGGAATTACTTATCCTCAGTTGACAGAAATAACGTTTATCTCAGTACAAAAACTCTGGAAAGGTAAATATTGTATTTAGTATTCAACGAAAACTAGACACACAGTAAGTGAATAGGAAGGACATTTTCAAGCTTAGGTTTTGTATTTCTAACAATCAATTCAAATTTTCCAAAAAGTAAAATTTTTGATGACTTAAACTATTTCTTACTTTAGTTAGACTAACTCTTTTAAAATTATAAATTGAATAAAGTTTTTAATCGTTATTAACGATCTTGTCTAAAATCTGATTTGTTTATTTTGTTAATTTTCCCTTTCCTAACCATATTTTGTCAAATATCATTTTTTATCTTATCTCTACAGTATTTTATTTTTACGTTAGGTATCCGTTTCCTCCTTTCACCCAACCAACATCCGTCAGCTAGTATCATGATGTAATTATTGGTTGACTTGCTTTTATCTTTCATATTTTACGAGGGTCTGTAGTTTATTGGATGCTTTGTTACATTACTGTAAGGTAATAGTATGGATAGTACACTCGCGTTATGCAGACGGATTCAGACAACTACATACAGCTATTATAAGGCTCTCGTGACAGTAGATTGTCTGGTTAGACCCCTGCTCGTGCAGAGGAACGGACCACCCCCTCTCTCAAAACGGATGTAATATAATATTACACTGAGGGACGTTAATTACGTACTTGCTACCATTTTTCAGATATTTGATTATTTTAATGCTTAATTTATTACGTATCAAACAAATTTCGTCGATTTAAATTACAAGTCCAGGCGTGGCTTAGTGGTTAGCAATGCAATTCCGAAGAACCAAGGTTTTAGCCGCGATATGCCGATGAGCACGCTCCGCATTATAACTATCACAATCAATCTGGTTATTTCGGTTAATAATAGCCACATATTAGGCAGCAAGTACTAACTGGCTGGTTGGTTGTCTACCATATGGTCAGTAGTTCTAAATAAAAAAATTCCTATGTGTGAACCGTAGGGATCTTTCGCCTCGCCCTTTAGCTCATGCCTCCAATAAGGTGCTGTCCATACTGAAAACGCCAAACACTATGTACCACAAAATTTTCAACGAATAAACGTGTTCCTTAACCCTTTTCTAATCACTATGTAATGAATTTGCGGTAGGCCCTTAGCTTAAATTGTTCTTTTAACCATTGTCCATTGAAGATATCATTCTGTGACCCAAAGTTTTCATCTGGTTAGTCCTAGACTATACCAACCTGAGAGTTTTCCACGAAGTCGCTCCAATGATTTTCGAGTCTATAAAGGTCATCATTAGGAGTGTCAAAGGTCAGAAGTCCCGGTTGACGTGGAAACCCGCTAACACTGTACTGGTTCAGCAATTCGGTAAGGGAGTCCATTCTTTCCTTCTCCCATGGACAAAGAACAAATTATAAACGACACCATGTAGACAAGAAATTGATGATTACAGAAACACAAATTATGAACGACACCATGTAGACAAGAAATTGATGATTACAGAAACACAAATTATGAACGACACCATGTAGACAAGAAATTGATGATTACAGAAACACAAATTATAAACGACACCATGTAGACAAGAAATTGATGATTACAGAAACACAAATTATAAACGACACCATGTAGACAAGAAATGATGATTACAGAAACACAAATTATAAACGACACCATGTAGACAAGAAATGATGATTACAAAAACATAAATTATAAACGACACCATGTAGACAAGAAATGATGATTACAAAAACATAAA